AAATTATATTCCATAGGGACCATTTCTGCAAATTATCAAAAGGTTCTAACGGATATTTAACGGTTTATGGATTGAAAGACCAATTCCGCAAGAAACGTTTGAAATAAGGGTAAATGCCAATTTTAAAACGATAGGGACCATTTTAGCAAAGAGTGTAAACATTGGGGACCATTTCTGCTAATTACCCTTCCCCCCATATAATAAAAAAATATTTTAAAAAGAATAAAAATTTTAAACCTTAATTAAATAAATAATAATTATTATACATACAAAAAAGAAATTCAATGTTTAGTATTATTAATATAATATACTTTTAAAAAATAATATTATATGTAAATTTAATTATAAATTAGTCTATATAAAATTTTACAATTTAATTAAAAATAAATATTTTTCATAAAAATGAATGAAAAAAGTTATAAAAATACAATTTAATTCTTTCATAGAAAATATAAATAAACAATAAGAGTGTGAGAAAAATAGAAACTAAGCCTCTGTTTGGTAGGCATTTTTTGTGGAGATAATGCATTTTTTTTGGTTGACGTGATGGGGAATATGTGGTTGAAAAAAGTAAAAAAAATTATTGATATGATGGAAAATATTATTTTATTAAAAAAATGTGTGGTTGAAATTTGAAAATGAGAATGAAAAATATAATGTACCTCAAACATGGGCTAATATAATCAATAGGAAAAAATAAATTTTAATCATAATTTTAATGTTCGTAGAAGAGAGAAGGAAATAGAAATATTGGAAAAAAAAATACATATTAATTTCTTTTTTGTTTTTTTATGTGTGAGTCTCCCAAAATTTTGTGATTAATGATAGTCAAATTTTAAAATTTTATTTTAGTACTTCCTGCTTAAAAGTTAGTACCATTGAGACGTTTATAAAAATCTCTAAAAGTTATAAAAATTTAAATTCCCCAAAACTTGTAGAAATTTCTAAAAAGTTTCAATTGAATGCACCCCCTTAAATGATGGTCCCATTGCATATAAATTCATATTTTGACGTGCCGTTATATTTGTTATTATATCTTGGAAAATCTAAGTTCCAGTTGTTTTTTTTTTTAAAGAAAAAAAGGGACTCTTTCTAGGAGAGCCTTTATTCCCAGCTGGCATAGAAGTGTCTATAGCGCGGGCAAAGGAGATGCATTTATGGTACTAGTAGTATTTGACAAGCTCTCATGGTCTTTTCACTCCCCCACTCGCCATCAAAGTTTCCGCTATATCTTAGGAGTAGTCTCTATTGCGCGAGCTATGGAAGATCATAGTGGACACCGATGGGATAACTTCAAGCTCATCAATTGATATAGTGAGATAACAACTAATAAAATAGAAAAAAGAATTCTTCTACCATTTTTCACTTGTACTTTAAAAATCAATTTTCTTATTAGACAAATATATAACGAGGAAACAATATCACTGCCTAAAAAAATAATCAAAATGATATCATCTACAAGAAGAAATAATATTTGTTATATCAGAAATCTGTTTCAACAACTGTACTAGGTACATCTGTAATTCCAAATGACATTTCTGAATGTTCATACTGCAGCCAATCCTTTGCACAGATAAGAGCCTCAAGTACCGCCGGTCTTAATGAACTTCGGTAGCTATCCATCTTTCTTGTTCTTGTATCGAACACAGAATATGGAGGTACGGTGGATACTGGAATCGATAATACATCACATGCCATTTTCGACAAAGTTGGGTATTTCGATCTATTTCCTCTCCACCAACCTAGAACATCAAAATCTTGTACACGAGGTAAAAGAGATTCTTCTAGATACTGATCTAGTTCTGATTTCATCTGTTGGCCATTCATTATATCCGAAATATAGATGTCAAAATCCGAAAACCCAGTATCACCATTAGGAAAACCACCTTCTTCTTGAGGTGTCTCTGGTTTTGCAACAGCCTCATTTCCTTCTTCTATAAATGTTGGTGGAGGAAGGCATTGCACAACGTACTCGAGATAAAGTTCGTGCACGTCCTCATCAACAATCTTGATCCAATTGTCTGCATCCTCACCATAGATTCTGGAAAAGCTGAATTCCACGAGCTTCATTTTGAACCTCGGGTCCATAACTACAGCAACTGCCAAGACTAGGTTACAGTCCTCCCAATATCTAGTGAATATCTCGTGCAATGATCTGGTAAGGCCGCTAACAAAGAGATCCGGGCTCATAGCAGCATGCATCAATTCTAGCTGAATTTTCCACAGTTCATGGAAGAATGCATTGGTGGTCGGACATAAAGGGGCTGTTAGAATGTTGGCCGCCTCGTAGAAAATCTTCAAGTATGTGCAAAGAATTTCCACTTGTCTCCACTCGTCCATTGTTGGAGTGCTCTTATAATCTGGATCAGAAGTATCCAGGCACGAAAATACTTCCTTTAGTTCAGAAGCAGCCATCAACATGTGATATGTAGTATTCCATTTGGTAAGGTCATCGACAATTATGTTCTTTGTACTGGGCACTTGAAGCTGTTGTTTCAGTTTGATGAATCTTTCTTCACGAGCGTCTGAAGTCTTCACATACTTGACACTGTCACGGACCTTCTGAACAGTTTCCTGAATAAACCCTAATGCATTCTGTGCAAGCCTCGTCAGAGTACAAGCATAACAACTGTTAATTAATAGCTGACCATTGAGAATACGGGAGTTCTTGAATGACAGGAGGCCTCTAAGATTTCTCTTTGCATTTTCATTTGCATGGGATTGATCGAGAGTGAGAGTAAATAGCTTGCTCTCAGTACCCCAATCATTTAGAGAAGCTGTGACAGCGTGAATAAAGCCAGTTTCTGAATAAGGATATGGTAACATTACGACATTGAAGATCCGCCTATGCAGTTTCCAGTCGCAACCAATAAAGTGTCCCGTTAGGATTCCGTAAGACACCCTTTGATCTGAAGTCCACAAATCCAAAGTAAGACTAACTCGTCCTGGAATTCCAGTAACAAGGTTCAGAAGGTTTTGCTTCTCTCTGAAATAAATTCCTATAATGTGTTCTTGGACAGTATTGGTACTCACTGTATTAAAATGGGGATGAAGACACCTTGCAAAATCAATAAAGCCAGAATCTTCAACCATGCGAAGAGGATATTCATGCTGAATAATCATTTTTGCAATTTCTTGACAGCATAGGTCCTGATCAAAAGAGGTACTAGCCGGTCCAGGGTTAGCCCGGTAGCGCTTTCTTGGTCGTACTGTACCATTCTCAGAAACATCAGGTGTGGTATCTGGGTTGAATATACTGAGCTGATTTTTCTCTTCTTTACACCGACTCACAGGGCAGATCCCCAAAGAAATATGCCGTTTCAGGTGACTGGTGCCAGATAATTTTGAGCCCGATATATAAGCAAATGATTTATTGCATTGCTTACATAAGGCCCTGATACAGTCAGCATTAACAGTTTCAGTTGTGAAGTGGTCCCAGACAATGGACTTCTTTCTTCGGCGTTTATTAGGCTGCAGATCTGAATTGGAGTTCTCAATGTGATTAGTAGGGACATCCATCGTATGAATTCTGCAAACAAAAAGGAAACAGAATGACCATGATCAGATGTGCACATTTTAGATTGTCAGATAGTCTTCAATGTTATATCAAAAGTTACTTTCAAAAATAGCAGCTAAAATCATTATTGTGTGTGCATGTAAAGGGAGGTGGGGGTAAATGTAAAAAAATTGCACATTCTTCCTCATTTGAGCACTTATAAAGCTAAAGTAAACCTCCATCGACAAAATAGAAACAGACAAAAAAGGAAATATCAATGAATAAATAAAAAATAGAACAACAAAGCTAGAAAACAGCAAGATGTCACAAGTACATAAGCTGTTAATGTCTGTACCATTGCAGTCACATGCTAAGGTCCAACAGCTTGCCTAAATTCAAAATAATATTACATGAAAACCGAAAACTTTTCCTTCTTTTTCAACCATCAATTCTCCAAAATTACACCATTCCAAAAATTAAAATCTCCAATAATGGGCACCAAACGGGGATATAATAGTCTGACTTAACTATTGGAAGTAACTTCGAAAGTGTGACTTTTATCATTACCATAAAAGCCGAAGTACACTATAACTTACTATAATGAAACAGCAGATTTAAGTACGTCTCCATCAGGGACATGGAGTTCACTGATATAACAACACACATCACTATCACAAAAGTAAAGAACATCTATTTACAGTACAAGAAAAAAATTGAACTGACATGGATTTTACTATGAACATAAATAGGATCACTACTTTCACATTGACTTGCCAGAAATTCTTCACATTAGTACCTCAAACTACTATCCATTGTCCAAATCTATAAACAAATATTGACTACGTGTTTAGTAACATATATTCTGATTCCAAGTGATAGTTTCCATATTGCAACGAGTAGCCTAGACATTTCAAGTATTGCACAATGATGTATCTTTCAAATAATGGTAAATCTAACAACAAAGGTTAATCGAATTATGCCTATTAAGACAGTGTTCCATCATCAGTCTTAAGCACGAGTTGTTAGAAATAAAGAAATTTTGACCCAAAAAGAAAGAAAATAGGGTTGAACTCATTGATCTTAAGCGCAAGTTTTTGAAACAAAAACAGGGTGCCCAATGAGCTTACAAGCTCAAAGCAAAAACTTAGTTTAACGATGTTAGACTCGGTTAGGATCTTCGTAAGTACCCCCTTTTGTCAAAATCAACATCTGTTGAGACCCGTATTCTCAATTGGATAACCTCACGAACCCAATATTAACCTCAAAGCAACCCTTCTCAGTTTTGTCAAGGCTAGACTTTAAGCACATTGATGACATTCGAGTCAGATTCAAGGGTGAGCTACGTATTAGTTGTGTCATAGTAGACACCCGTCTAGAGATAACCCTCCTTGTGCACGCGTGATGACAGTGACAAGCACTCCTCTTATCACAAGCGATGTCCGTGACTACTTATTACTCAATTAGGCGACTTTACCATCATAGCCTTCAATTGCAAGAGACCCTCTCCAAGTTGTCGATAAAGGGTCATCACCAATTGGAAGCAGCCCTATGCACATACAAACACAAGCCTAGCCTAATGCGGGACTTGGATATGACTTGCAAATTTCTTACAAGGCACAACGATTCCAACACAGAATACCGCATACACCATATCATCAAAACAAGAAAATAGAATTTTTTAAACAGACAAGACACCCCTAAATTTTCCTTGAATCAGAAAAGTCTATATACCAAAAACCGCAGAGTAATCAATAAAAATTACAACTTCATAACAAGATTCAAGCAGTACAACAGAGATAACTTGCGGCTAAAACATGTGAAATAATAATAATAATAATAATAACGTAAAAAAACCTCCCATCGATGAATTGAAAACTTACTTCAATGGCGAACTGAAAATCTTTAGGACACAAAACCAGGGTTTAGGGTTTATCGTTAATCAATTTACGGTTAATTTTGAAGGAAAATTAATGGAGGGAGAGAAGAGAAGAAGATGGGCTTAGAAAGAACGAAACTCTAAACCCTAATGGACTTTAGTGCTGTTTCCTGAGGTTTTGAGCTTTTAAAGGCAGCCTATTTATTGATGGACCCTAACCCATTCTCTGCCGCCGTAGATTTTGCCTACCGCCTTAGATTTCTTCAAATCTGAACCGTCCAAAAGTTTCCTAATAGCCCTTTTTTTTAAATATTATCTAATTCGAATTTTTATTTTCTTCCCGTTAGAATTGAAGTTTTATTTGAAAATAAGGCAACAAATTATACATTGTACAAATTCTGTTTGTAGTGTGGTTCCGAATGGATTAGGACTAGTTTTGGGGCGTAAATTAACCCATGGGCCTAGGCGGCCTGCCTCAATGGGAGCCCATCTCCAAACTATTTGCAGAGGGACTAGGCTTCTTGCTGGATGAGGATGTTCTAGTCTTGAACCTTCAAAATTAAAGTCAAATTTTAATTGCGATTTTTATTTTAATATAAAATTTAACTAATAATTTTTTAGGTTAATTTATATTTTAATTCTCATTATTGTGTTAATTTTACGCTATAAAATGGAGTGAATATTTTGTTGTTAGCGCAACATGAAAACACAACTTGGGAGATAAACTTTCTATATATTTCATACCACGTTCTTATACTTTTGACAAATCGATAAATGTCATTCTTCATCTCCACGTGATCGTATCCATGGAAGGTGAGCTAGTTGTGAGCTATATGAGCTTTTATATTTGAGTTGTGTAATATTGAAAGTACCCGTATGAAAGGGAGAAAACATAATTTTAGAACAACGTTCTTGACGTGACACTTAAATACTTGCTTTCTAACTCTTCTTGTGTTTGTGATATTTTAATTTATCGTGTTAATTGATAATCTATCTACACACAATTCGCTTATTTTTTCCCCAACAAAGGATTAGGACAAATAGGAGTACGAGTTGATTAGCAATACGTAATTATCCGCGGTTGACTAGTTCTTGGTTCATCCTCGTGGTAGGGACGATTACTTGGGTGGTAGGGATACCCAATCCTAGGTTTCGAAATATGATTGCCTCAAAACATCCACGCAACAGGTTGAGCATTCGGCTCACTAGATCGGGTCTCACGTGCAGCTTGTAAACGAGGTACAATCAATCTATTAATTGTGCCCTAAGAATCTTAAGATCCTAAGGGAGTTTGGCTTAGGGTTTTAACTTCTTGCATGTCGTACTATTTCACAAATTAGACATATTCAACTATAAAAATGTAACATATTATCTCAAATTTTAAAAAGTGGGAAAAAATCATAACAAAAAAAAGATAACTAGTTTTTTGTTGGACTTGATGGAACTTATAAGGTTTGGCTTTGACTTTTTTTCGAGATTATTTGTGACGTGGAAGTAGCCGGAGGAGTTAAAAACGTTGGTGGAGATGGCATGAGATGTCGATACTGTCTAAAAAGGCTAAACGAAGTTAATTTTTTTTTTTTGCATTGATTTTGATCGATTTTGAATGGTCAAGAAATACTTACTAATTTTTTGGTGCACCAATTTTGAATGGTTTGGTGTAGTATAATTTTGACTGTTTTCCTCAATTCACCAAGTCGGTGAATTTTGAAAGTTTTTTGTATTGTCTTCTAATTTTACCCTATAATATAATGATTTACTACCAACATAATTTGTTCAAAACTAACTTAAAAATAAAGTAGCTGAAAAAATTATTTTTTTGCTGAAAAAATTATTTTTTTGCAAAAAAAAATATACTGTAGTTATAAAATTTACTTATAAGCAAAAAAGTCACTTTTCTTGTAAAAAATTATTTATAGAGTAAAAATACTATTGAAAATTTCACTAAGGAAGTATTTGTAATTTTATTTTTTTAAGAAACTATTCAGAATCCGTGAATAATAACTCTCAAACGTGAGTTTGATTGTTTTAAAAATTGTTACTAACATCAGTAAAAATCGATCTGCATATAAATTCACAAAATCGATATTTTAAAAACGCTCGTAACCGTTACCTAAAACTCTAAAGCAAACCCTAAACGCTGATGTTCGGTCTCATATTGAATAAGGTCCAACCCATCATTATTGGAGTGAACCTAGGCACAAGGCTTGTAGTTTGATTCGATATAAAGTAGACCTTGTGTTCTTACTAAATTTTATCGATAATGAATATTTTTTTTAAGATTCTTTATTTTAACTTTCGTAATTTTGTAAATATTTTCATTTCTACATGTAAAATATGATTTTGTTGCAATGACGAAAATTCAAAACGAAATATAAAAATATGCCCAAATTTCTTTCCTACAATATCTCTTACAATATTTCGAGATATTTTTTTATTTAAAAAAGATTTAGTTGCAATGACGAAAATTCAAAACGAAATATAATATTATGCCCATATTTCTTTCCTACAATATCTCTTTCAATTTTTCGAGATATTTTTTTATTTAATAATATCTTGAAACGTAACACCATAATCCTTTAACAAATTGTTGTAGTCTATTTCTGGTAGGAAAAATATATATTTCATTTCCAGGTGATCACCTGCCACAACTCTATTAGCACCCGTTTGGTCCACATTATTCCACTTTATAATGAGAAATGTGTAATTAAAAAAAAAAAAAGTTTTTGAATTTACGTGTAATACTAAAGAATGCGTGATTGATAAGATAGGAGAGAAGAGAATAATGAATTATAATTTAATAGGAATAATGGGTGCCAAACAGGGAATTGATTATCTGTTGCACCGTACAATTTTGAGTTTACGTGTAGTATATTTTTATTGTGTGATTGTGTGGTGGAAAATGAAAATATAGAAAAAAAAAAGAATTATTTAAAAAATAAGAGACAAGCAGGGGCATAAAATCATTACAATAAGTTCCAGCCGCCACGTGGAACCAATTGAAGCGTTTGTTTTTTGTTTGGGCCTATCTGGCCTCAAGGGTATTGAACATCAATTTAGATATCAACATATTATATGTTATATTAAATGAGTTATAATTTTATTGTATTTAATTGAACTTCTAATTTAATATTACTAGTATTGTTACCTAAATTAGTGTTAAAAACTGATTATTTAATTTTAAAAAATTGGGGGAGAACCAGCCTTGATAGAGGAGTCCCAATGAGCCCTAGCCCAGCCCACCACCCCTCGTTCACGAGAAAGCAAACAACCACCCTAATTGATTAAATGCTTATTTATTACTCTAATTAATTCAATTGATTTAAAGCTATTTGATATGGTTAGTTTAGGATTGTATAAATCTCCTTCACTGTCCAAGGGCCTGGTTTGGAGTTCCGGCATATCGGTTATTAGCGTGTTTTAAAGTATTGATTTTGAGCGTTTATGAGCTGATCGGTTATAACTGATTTTAGTAGCGATTTTTTAAAATAATTCAACCATACTTAGGAGTTTAATATTCATCGATTTTGAAAGTTTTTTCAAAAAGTATATATATCACTTAGTGAAATTTTGAGTATTTAACACTTAGTTTTATTACTTCCAAAACATATTATTTTTTTCTATCTTTTATTTTTATTAGCTCTCATCTAAATTATTATATTATTTTTCTCCATCGAAAATTGAAATAATCTAAATACATTTAATTATAAATATTATTTTAAAAAGTCTCTAATATTGCTTATCGTTTTGAATGTTGTGCTGACAAATAATTTTATATTTTACCTAATTGTGGATCTTATGATCACTATCCAATAAACTTATGATGTATTTTAATGAATTAGACAACTAATGAAATGAGTGATTATCACCTAGACGAATGACAATCATCACCTGCGATGTATATAGCATCGTTCATCTTTAATCGTAGAATGCATTCAATTCGTTGATCAATTAATGATGATCTCATTGACATTTCAAATTGGTATTAAATTCCATCATTATTTTGGAAAAAAAGTCGATCTCTATGTTTTTCACGAGTCTCCCTCCCTCTCTCTTTTAGGCCGTGTTTGATAGGCCACATTTTTCGGGGAAGTAGAAAAATATTTTTCACTTTCCACTTTAGCAATTTCCGGATTTTTGATGAAAATATTTTCCCACCTTTTTGTGGGAAAATATTTTCTCTGGAATTTTTTGTTTTTTTTTTATGCAATGGAAACAAATGTCATAACTAATGGTAAAAAAAAAAAAATCACTTTAATGGACAATTTTCATGTAAAATAAAATTAAACGAACACTAAATTTTGATAAAAATGATTTTTTAGGAAACGATTTTTTTTTTACTTTTTGGCAATGGAAACAAATTTTATAACCAATTGTGAAAAAAAAATCATTTTAATGGACAATTTCCATGTAAAACAAAGTCAAACGAATACTAAACTTTGATTGTGAAAAAAATTATCACTTTAATGGACAATTTCCATGTAAAACAAAGTCAAACATACACAAAGAAATCCACAATAAAATTTTGATAAAAAATGATTTTTTCGGAAACAATTTTTTTTTTACTTTTTGGCAATGGAAACAAATTTTATAACCAATTGTGGAAAAAAATATCATTTTAATGGACAATTTCTATGTAAAACAAAGCTAAACGTTTAGAAAATTTAAAAATTTTTCGGGTGGAAAGTTATATCAATCAAATACACTTGAAATTATTTTCCATGTAAAATATTTTATAGGCAAATATTTTCCCTATAAAACATTTTTTTTCCACTCATTTTCCACCCCTCCAATCAAACGCACCCTTAAAGTAATAATAAAAAAACTTTGAAAAATGTAAAACCCCAATCATCCGACATAGTACAAGAAGCGTCAAGGCTCCAAACTTTACTATTTCGGTTTGACATTCTTAACTCTTAACTGTGTTTATTAATGTTGCCAACTTGCAATATAAAAGGTAATATCGAGGATAACTCTATCCTAATTACACTCTTAATCCTTGTTTAGTTTTATCCATTTAAAACATAACACGTGGCTGTTAAGGAGATAATATTTTATGTTTTTTTCTGAAATTTTAAGATAAAGACCGAATTGAGGATTTTATCCGGTCTGCACGCCAATCAACACAGAGCGGACGTCAGGAAGACAGGAACCACTCAAAAGGCGTTGCCAGAAAACCCTAGTAACAAAATTTAAAAAAAAAAAAAAAGGAGTTACTATAAGATGTTAGCAAGTCCATTGCCAACAATGCACCTTCACCTTCATGATATCAAGTTATCAACTGAAAATCATTCAATTGTCACCTTCATGACATGGTGGGTGAAAATTAATGTTGACAAAATTCTCTTTCCTTTTTATTTGACAAGACATTTCACTGACATTTTTTACCAAAAGAATAGGAAAAGTTGGCAAGAATGAAGAAACTAATCAAAAAGAGAAATAGGGAGAATCAATCAAGAGCATGAACTACCACTTCAATTCAATCGGGTCCCCCCTCTCACAACATTACTTATCATTATGGCATCATATGAAGAAAAGAAAAAGATAAACTTAGTGGAGAATGGAATTGATTCAGCCTTGTAAAAGAATAACAATAATTGAGGAAATTATGCTTTATTTTTTACTAATCTATAATATATTAAATATCATATTAAGTGAGAATCATTTTTTAGACGATCCAATTATTTCAGTAATATAAATTGTAGCAAATACTACAAAATCACTGTTGATGCATTTATTCCCTATTATTAATTCTCAATTAATTAACATTAACATTCACGTTCATTTAATTAATATTAATTAAAATTCACATTCGAGAATGCACTTCATTATTCACGTTCATGTATGTTAATTAGCATCAATTTTCATTTTATTGAAAATTAAATTATATTCATTTAATATAAATGATTTAACATTCATTGTCACGTATATGTTTCTTAGTATTAATTCTAAACTAATTAATATTCACATTAATTCATGTATTGTATTTGTCATTCATCTTTATTTATGTATTTGCTTATAATTCTAATATTCACATTCAAGTATGCATTTCACTATTTACATGTGTGTATAATAATTAATATTTATTTTCAAGGACTTATATTTCTATCATATTTAGATCAATAGAATAAATGAATGATCAAATATTTGTTTCATAGCACTTAAAAATATTTTAGAATGACGGGCAACGCACGTTC